AACCAAAATTGGCTTCCATATTCCATTTTCCTTCGCCTCAGAAATCATTCTCAGTGAACTCATACCTCAACTCTGGTTTTGATGGGGCTGAGCTTTTATCAAGGGGGCTAATGTGAAGTTATATTCTAGGAGAAATGGAGGCAAGAAACATTGAATTCTCTATGTTACACCCTTGTTTTAGTCTTCCAAGTTTGCTACTTCTATGCTTTTCTTTGGGGGCTGAGTACCTGGTCACCTACAAATGAAGAGAGTGAGAGTATCTTAACTCACATCAACACATGTTTTATTCCCATGATCTTAATAGCATAGGTTCGCTTTCATTCACCACTATGTAATTAGTGGGATACTTTGCTTTCATTTCAAAAAAGGCTGCCGTCTTTCGTCATAAGGAACTATCCAGCTTAGTCATAATGTTGGTTGCTGGGAGCACATCTATTACACGAGTCAATGGTGCATTCATTTGCACAACACAACATAGATTTTTCCATGGGTTGTGAAGAACCGAACCTTGGTTTTCAAGAGCTGAGTTAGTGTTTGTTACAAAACTTCATACGTTTCTCTAGAAAGATAATCTCATAGTGCCCAGCTCTCGAGTGCTTATATGCTTTACTTGTGGCTACATGTTTCTTTTAGAGAAAGTTTTGTATGTGACACCTCCCAGACATAAATTATGAAATTCCATTTCTCGGCAGTTCGATCCGAATGGGCGGCTAGAATGGCTCGTGTCATAGCGTCGCCAAAATACTATTTGATTTTTAAACTTTTTTCTTTAAAATATTTTTAAATAAAATTTGGGGGCATCCCATTTTCTTTATGGGGCACCTAGTAAAAGAAAGAAAATTTCTAAAAAAAGACCAAAAAGGCCCTACAAGTTTCAGGGGTATTTAGATAATTTTTCATCGTCAGAAATAATTTTTATCATTTTTAGGGCTACATCCACAGCAAACTGAAATCCACTACACCAATAAAGGTTACATCAAAGATTTTTGAACAAAGAGTTACCTCTCTAAACCACAAAAAAACAAACCCTTTTAAAGCATTCCCCTTTCCTTCTCTTTACTTTTGGCAACCACTACCGACAGCACTAAATAAAGATGCGAGAACAACGAGATATTGACTTTCTCTCTAACTAAAAGGGAAAACAATCCACAATCTTAATGAGAACCGCTTCTCTACAAGAAATAAGCCTCTCAATATTCAAGAACAAGCCTATCAATTTCCAAAATTCTACAAAAGTTACCATCGCAATGTTTTTATCCATAGGAAGCTCCCTTCTCTCTAAGAGGAAACCCTCTCTTCTTCCTTAGAAGAAACTTTGCGTCTTATGCACATGAGGCCTTGCCCCCCTCTCTCTCTAGAGGAACCACCATTCCCATATGGTGACCCAAATATGGAATATGAATTCTTTGTATTTTCATCCCATATATAAGATTAGGAATCCATACTTAATAGAAAACTTCCTATAGATGTTACATATATCTCAAAAACCAAAGAGATATACCCAAGAGTCTTAATCTTTATGGACTTCAATTTCTTTTACAAAACTTATCAATATATCAATCCCACAAAATATGGGATTTCCTTATGTTGGTAATTTTGGATAGCACCAAATCTAGGAATCTCCACCTTGATATCAAAATCACATATTCACCATGTCAACATCCATTGTATAGCTTCATAAATTCTTTATCTTTTGCAAAATAAATTTCTTCATCATTCTTGCTGAAAAATAGTGTTTGCCATCAAATTTCTCCACCTTAAACCTTGCATTCGAAACCTTTATTGTCATATCGAAACCCCCGAAACCTGGCTCTGATACCACTAGTTGTGCGTAGAAGCTCTAAACCCGACAGATTGATTTTTTGGCAAATGAAGTACAAGAAATAAAGCATGAAACAGAAACACAAGAACACAAATATTTACGTAGTTCACCTCATAAGGACCCCATCCACGGGAATGACAAACTGAAATCCATTATACCAATAAAAGTTACATCAAAGATTTTGGAACAAAGAGTTACCTCTCTATACCATGACAAAAACCCAAGTTGAGCAAACATTTTTAAACCACTCTCCCTTCCTTATCTTTACTTTTGGCGACCATTACGAGTAACACCACGACAAAAATCCAAATCGTGTAAACCCTTTTAAATCACTCTCACTTCATTCTCTTTACTTATGACAACTATTACCGGTAATACCAGATAGAGACGCGAAAGCAACGAGAAACTAACTTTCTCTCTAACTAAAAGGGAAAACAACCAAAAATCTTTATGAGAACGCTTAAAGAACAAGCCTCTCATTTTTCAAGAGTCTACAAGAGGCATCATTATAATGTTTGTATATATAGGAAGCTCTCTTCTCTCTAAGACGAAACCATGTCTTCTCTCTAAGAGGAAACCTTACATCTTATGCACAGGAGGCCTTGCCCCCCCTCTCTCTCTAGATGAATCACCATTCCCATATGGTGACCCAAATAGGGCACATGAATTCTCTACACATTCATCCCATATATATAAGATTAGGAATCCAGACTATATAAGAAACTTCCTATAGATGTTACATATATCTCAAAAACCAAATAGTCCTAATCATTTTAGACTTATATTCTTTTACGAAACTTATCAATATCAATAACAATTATGTAAACTATAGGATTTCCTTATGTTGTTGATTTTGGATAGCACCAAATCCAATACAAGAACCGACTCCACTCAAATCTGATGCTATGTGCAGTGGCCACCTAAATTTTATATGTTAGTAGGGGTTACATGGAAAGCTTTCCCTTTATTTTTTTAAAACAGCTACTACTATGTGCTTATTCTTATTTGGGAAAGGGACGCTAGATCTTTACGATGGAAAATTTCAAACTCTTGAACTGTGTAGAGGTGTATGTAAGTAGCTATATACAAAAGTGGCACTTTATTTTTCATTGGAACTAAAAGGGAGTCGTTACTGTGTTTACAACTTTATTGTTTGCCTATTTTGGGTGCGGTTTCTATAATGTTGCAACCTTAAACAATCCAATTAAGGCGCATCTCAAAATTTTATTATAACATGTAATTTTGTTATAAAAATTTTTTAGGATTATCTTAAAATCTATTTTCATATCTAAAAATTCTAAAAATGGTTAAAATCAAGTAGATCTATAAATATATGAAAATCTAGAAAATCAACGGTGTAGATAATGTGTTGCAGTATGCACTATTTCTAGGACTCAATTTTTTTCATATTCATACGTCTCCATATAGAGACGATCGATTAGAGGGTTTTTCAATAGTAAAACAACATTTCCGATAGATTTTTTAGGTACATATGTAATTCTACATTTTAAGACTGCAATCTTATATAAACTTTTCTCATTTAATATTAAATATTATGTTAGATTTTCTAGTACCAATAAATAGGTGCTTCAAGCATGTCCAGAATGATGAATTAAATGGAGTGATATATGTTAATAATTGTTAAGATCAAAAAAATATATATGTTGATAATTGTCCATGGATTTACACAAGGCATTCTAGAGCCTTGTAGTTTTCACCATCTTCTAGAATTGCCAATTGTGTATCATGCTTTTCGGAAATGCAATCTTAGCTCTATTACAAATGGATGAAATGATATATGTTTTGACCATCATCTATGTATTTTGAAAATGGAAAACCTCACTTTGTTACTTTCTTATGCAAGGTGATATGCAAAATTATTATCACTAAAAATTCTACCATAAATAGGATAAAGATTGAGTAAAGAAATATAAATTCAACTAAACTATGATTGTTGGTTATATGTTTTAAGTTTTGAGATATAATTGACCTTTATAGAAGTTCCCTACATGGTATGGGATCTCTAACCTTATATGTATTGAATGAGAGAGAAGAGATCTGTACGCCCTAGTTGAGTTACCTCATGGGAAAGGTGGGCTTTCACTAGTGAGAGATACGCAAGGGCATCCAACAATGAGAGGCAAGAACTCTAGAAAGGCAAAAGTGAGCTTTCTAGAGAGAAAAAGTATGACGGTGCTTCTCGTAGAGAGAGAGGTGGTTTTTTTACAGATAGAATTGGCAACGAGTCATGCCTGTGTTGGATTTAGATCTAGAGCAGCCCTATTTTTCATGTCTATTTCCACTTCTCTCACCATATCTCCCTCTAGCCATTAAACCATCTCCATATAGCGGAGCATTTTCATGTCTCTTCTTCAAATCATTAGAGAGAAGAGTCGAAGTCACATCCGCCATCTCAATGGTATCTTTTCCATAGGGCAATGTTGTGATTAGATGCTCATACAAATGAGGGAGTGGAGATAACAAAATTATAGCATTATCCTCAACATCCATATTAACACCAATATTCAATAATTCATAAATAATTTTATTAAAATAATTCAAGTGTTCATGGATATCTGTACCTTCATTCATCAGCAGGATGTACAATTTTTACTTCAAAAATAATCGATTTGTGAGGGACTTCGTTATATATAAACTCCCAAGCTTCAACCAAAGACTTGATACCGAATCCTTATTGACAATATTAAATAGCACTTCACTCGAACAACACAATCAAATAGTGCTCATAGCCCTCAGATCTAAGTCTTCCCAGTCCTCATCAAACATGGATTCTGGTTTCTTTGACTTTCCTTTCAGAGCTTTATGTAGACAGCAAATCCCAAACATAGATTTGTCAAATTCCAAAATTATGACAACTATACCAATAAAAGTTATATCAAATATTTTGAAACAAATCTCGACAAAAATACAGTCGAGCAAACCCTTTTATACCCTTTTATACCAGCTCTCCCAAAAGGCACCATGCTAAGCTCTCATTTCTATTCCATAACTTGATCACTGTTTGGGAAGAGAACAACTTTGAGAGCAAGCAAGACTTTATCTCACTAAAAAAGGGCAACAACCCAAAATCTCCATAGGAACCACTTCTCTACAAGAAACTTCTCACTCTGCAAGAGCCTTCAGGAGGCAACATCAACGTTTCTCTTCATAGGAAGCT